AGAAGAGAGATTTAATGTCCTTGAACTGTGCTGCAGAAAAGAAATTTAGGGAAACACTTGTTACTTAGGTATAATTGCTTGCAAGCCAGTGCTGTTCTAGAGAGAATTGTTTTTCATGGTTAAATTATACAAGACATCTAAAAATAAATTGTTCTGCGTAATACAGTGTTGAATCTGTGAATCTCACTGATAGACCAAATAGTTTACCTTCGTAGAAATCAGTCAAAACCAAAACAATCACATAAGAATAAACTGGGAGATTTCTCAGAAGCACACATCATTAGCAAATTCAAGGGCAGCTAAAACACCTCCTGGGATTTTTCTCCACGTCATTGTAGGCATATTAAACAGGTTATAGCTTAATGTTCCAGGGCACTCACCAACAGCAAACGGACTGAGATTACTGGCTTTAACAAAAACGGGCTAGCCTGATTCTAGTTTTACCACAAAATGACTTAACAGGCATCTTCTGTTTTATAGAACAGTGCTTTGATTTAGCACTGATTTTTTGTTAATAAAAGGAAACTGAGGGCCTTTTGTGATATCTGATTCTTGCTTCAGGGAAATAACATTTACAAATCTTTCCAGATACTAAGCTCGTAAACCTGTTCCTGCAGACATAGAGGAATCTCTAGTTGCTTACTCATGATATAAGCTTATATACGTTATGTGCAGGTTGTTACTTACTGCTCAGAGTCCCTGAGTTATGCCTCTGCTGCTGGACCACTTATTTCCTGAGCTTTGGCTTTAAAGCTAAGCCAGCAGTATTATAATTTCTGCAGTGTGGTCTGGCTAGTAATATAATTTTGCCCACTTTTGGTCCTTGTTCTAAATGTACAAATGCCTCAGGGTCAAAGGGTGATATTTACTTTTTCCATATCTTTTTCAAGGAATGGTCAAAGTACCCAAAGAAAATCAGTATTTTGAGCATTCTTCCAGTGCTATTCTGCATGGTCAATCACATGGACTCCCAGGAGCTGATTTTAGGTTCAGTGACTCATGCGGATTTCACTAAGCATCTTCATGTTTCTTAATTAGCTTAATAAATTAATCAGGAGTTGCAGTACTGAGCAAAATCCAAGCTGAGTGACAAGGTTTTGGGCAATGGGATGAGACTGGATTTGCTTTTAACAGAACTCCTTGGTCCTTCAGTTGCCCATGAATGTCACTGGAAGATTAGCATTTGTTACAAGCCATGTACACATGTAACTTCCTTGGGCTGTTGCTGACTGTTGTTGTAGATGGGAGAAGCTGAGGCAGAAAGCAAATGCTGCCTGCCTAAGTCCAGAGAGGAGTTGTGGGTCAGAGCACTGCCCACAGTTCTCTCCTGGTGCTGCTTATTACACATCACTTGGGTCATTTCTGCCTTTGTTATCAGATCTGGCAGTGTTGCAAAACTGCCTGCTTGCTAAATATCATTGTATCAACACTTAAAGCGAGTGATTAAAGAAAGATAAATGTCATAGATGCAGTGTGGTTAGAGACTGTAGCCAGAAAATCAGTGAGGTATAGAAATTATTTATATAATTTCCATGCACACTTGTTCTCCCTGTTTAATTTGTGTTCTGCTCTCAAAGCCCTAGGAATACCATAGACAATCCAGGTTTCCTTACCTGGATGTTTACTTTATTCAGCTTCAGGATGGATATGTATTGTATGTCCTTAGCAATGGAAAATACAGTTGAAACCTCTCTCAGTTGAATATTTGTATTGACAAATACCAGTGGCCTGATAGAGTCTTTGAATAAAGCTGTAGCCAATTTCTATTTAAAACACTCAGAGGAGTCATTATTTTATTCACAGGCCACTTCTAAAGTTGGGTACATGCTGCGTTGTGCTCTTTTACGATGTATTAAGAAGTCTTCACACTCCTCTGGCTTTTCCTTTAGCCTTTTGTGCCTTGATTACTTCCATACTTGGAGGGTATTTTGCAGTCGTCTGTGCAGCAGTCTGAGAGGGCAGCCAGTCTGGGAATGCATCTTTGTGACACCTCCACCACCAGCACTGATGTTTATTCCGCTGTCTGATGATTTCTGGCAAATTATTGCATCTGGATCAAAATTAACTTGCAAAGACCCAGGAAATGTAATTTTCGGATCTGGTCTGTTTCATCAAGTGACTGCATGAGCTTTGGTGCCATTGCAAAGGAAGGAGAAGAGTTAGGAAGCAAAAGGCAGCCTTTTAGAGGCAGCTGTATTAGGCTGGCTTAAATTCATCTGAGCCCAGCTAAGTGGTGGTTTCATGGAAGTCAGAAACAGGAAAAGTTGACAGTCAAGAGGGAAGAAAGGTTAGTGTCAGCCTGCGTTTGGATGATTTATCTATTTTCAACGGATAAACTCTCTGAAACATATAGTTTTAAGAGCTTAACATTGATTCTACCCACCAAGAAGTCCAGTGATGTTTGAAACTATGACAAGTTTCAATGGTCTCCATACTTCAGGTGATATACAGAAAAACCTTAAAAAATCAGAGATCATGGTAGAGTTAGAAAAAGTATTTCTAGCCTTCTTTTTCATTGTACAAATTACAAAATGTCCGATACCCATCCATAACTAATTCCTTGTCAGCTCATGTTGCATAAGAGAGCAGTAGCTGGTACAGATTTTGGTCATTGTCTCACATTAGGTACTGTTGCTCAGATCAGGGTGTTGCGGCTGCTAAAACTCAGAGAGAGCATAATATTTTAGTGATCCTAAAATCATGGTGGGGACTAGCTCAATGGAAAGGGCATGTATCTGGTTTTGTGCCTGAAAGTCATGCACAATTTCCCATGGTTTTATCGTCCCTCAGGTCCTTCCCCAGTCCCATTTCCATCCATCTTTCCCATTGCTTGTAGATGAGTCCAGGATGCCACTGTTAGAAAGACTGTCCTTTTCAGAACATAAAATTTCATCATTTAGTTCAGCTCAGTCATAAGCAATACAGAAGTGGAGGAGAAGGTGGCAATGTAGTGATTCTGATCAAAGCTGAAACACCGTGGTGATGGCATTGTTTGTTGTTTTTTACTTCAGCCACTTGTACAGATCTGAGCACTCTTAACCATTTACTAATGTGTGAGAATGGTAATCGTCAGGAATTAGCATCTGAATGAGCAGGTGCAAATGAGCTGTTCTGGTTCCTGATAGAAAAGGTTCTTGAAGGAGTCATGTCTTCTGACTTGAAAGCAAATGTACTATCTGAGCAGCCACTGGGAAATAATTTACATTATTTGATTTGTCCGTGTGACCTCTTTTTGTGCCACAGTTCTTCTTGAGCATTGTTAGATTGAAAAGATACTATTGTTGTAATCTATTACAGGGAACAGCACTGATAATAGTAGTTAAATCTTTCCTGGGTTTATGAATTCACCTTTTTTGTTTTTGTACTGTTCATTGAGCAGTAAAAAGAGCTGGAAGTCTTGCAAGGAATGTAGAGAAATAAAACCTGGCACAGGAAAGACTTTCAGTACAATATGAATGTTGATCCTTTAAAATCACAAATCATCTTTCTATTAATTCACTGTAGAATAAGGTCTCCTCAAGATAAGACTCAGCAGTGCTGTGGAGTTGGTATTTAAAGTATGTCCATCTGCATCTAAACGAGTAGCTCCAAGACAATCAGATTATGCAGTAGTTACTTTGGTGAGAATATCGCCTAAGTGGAATGGAAACTTCATTTTGAGTCTAATATTAGACCCTGCTTTGGAAAATTCCTTTTAAATGATCACAAGCTGGGAATAGCAAAAGAATTTAACTTTCGACAGACAGCATTCACCAAGAATTTGTTTTTAACTGCTTATGTTGGGTCCCTGGGAAAGCAGATGTGAAAAACTTACCAAAGTGAATTGACTTGACCTGATGCAATGTTTATATCGGTAGTTGATAAGTTTTCCTCCCTCGTCTAATTTGTTTGGGATATTTTCATTCTTTAAGCATGAGTAAGTCTGGGGTGGAATAGTTTGAATGTTTGTTAGTCTAATAATCTGAATCTTAAAACATGCAGACATTATTGCCTATAAAGGGGTCTAAGCAAAGTTGAACTATTTTGGTTATCTTCCACGGATGGAGAGAAGTATCGTTTTTCAGACCAGGGAAGAAGAATGTGAGACAGTTTTGCTTACCTTCCAATAATTCAGGAAGCATATTAGTATCTGCTTTATTTATACTTCAGAATGCCACTTGTATTTGGCGAACCCTTAGAATGCATGTTACTTTTTATGCAGCTTTATAAAGGAGTGGCACTTTTAATGGCACTTAGGGAAATCAGCAACAAGGGATATCACAGCGGATTCATGATATTATTATTATTATTCCTGTGGCAGAAAAGACTTTAGGAATTATAGAATACACTGTGAATGATGCACAGCTCAGGGATCTTCAGAGCCATTAGTATATCTCATCTTAGTTCTTCTCTTTGTTGATCAGACGCTGTCACTTTGAATATTTTAGTTGATTCCTAAATAAGCCCCCACACTCCTACAGAGCATGGTTATATAAATTATTTTTGAGGAAGGCAGGAGAAAATGAGAAATTCATAAGTTGGGCTGACCTCTTCTTCCCAGCTCTACCCTGTCCTTGTGCTTCTGCGGTTTGGCCATTGTTGCTGTTGTTTCCAAGCTTGAGGAGAACATCCGCAGGAACTCACTGTAAAGGAGGGCTCCAGCCTGGCCTTCCTCTGCCAGTGCATGAGATAAGAATTGGAATAACTGTCAACAAGATAATATAATGAATTCAATGCCAGGGCAACAGTTTCACTGGGAAAGACATTAGAAAGAGAACACTGATCTCTTTAGCTGTTCTCCTTTAGTGCACTAGGTGGATTTATGTGACCCAGGAAAGCATTTCTCAGACAGAAATCAGATTATGATTTTAAGCATTTATTAAACTTTGCCTGTTCTTTCCTGAAGCCTGAGACCAACCTTTTTGTCTTTTTATTTATACCTGTGTGTCTATAATTCTGCTATAATTTCTGATCTTTCAGGAATTTCTACATGTCTAAATTGCTGATCTGTCTCCTTGCAGGCAAGTCTCACCTGGCTATAGTACAAAGAGTAAACAATGAAGGAGAAGGGGATCCTTTTTATGAAGTCCTGGGAATTGTCACTTTAGAAGATGTGATTGAAGAGATCATCAAGTCTGAAATTCTGGATGAAACAGATCTATACAGTGAGTAGAAATATTTGCTCTTCATTTGTAGACCAGGGGGAGGACTCCATCCACAAGCAGTTGTGTCTAATAGCTGTGTTTTGAGAGATGTTAAGTTGCAGATTTAAAATCTCAATGGTCAAAATGACCTGCAGATCCCTCAGACGGCCAAAGTAATTTTTGGTTTTGCAGCATGGGCACCTCATCCCTTTATGCTGTATTAATTCAAAAACATTCCAAGGGGAATGGAGTCTTTTTAGAGTGTCTCTCTGTCACTCATTCAGAAAACTTGAGAATGGAAGGTTGTCTTCAGGGCTGAAAACCAGCATGTCCTAAATTACTCCTCTTTTTATCCTTCAATACAGCTTCTTGCTTCCTTTGTGTTAACATCTGTTGAGGGAGATGATGCTGCAGGTCAGCCATTACCTGGGACTTGAGTGATCCGGTCTCTCTTTTTTCCCAGTTTAGAATTTGCCTGGTCTTTAGCCAGTTACCTAAAGCGTCTTTGCTTCTCTTTCCATCTGCACAATCTGGCCTGTGCATATGGGACTTTCTTTCTGTCATTCTTTATCTGTCTTATCTGTGCTTTGATCACATACTGGCAGATGCTATTTTTTACTGTGCGTTTGCGTGTAGCACAAGGATGTCTCTAGTTCTATTGTAACAGAAATAATTTAAAATATCTTTAAGACTGCTCAGCTGTCCTTTGCTCTCTTTTTCTTTCCTCTTGAAAGGGATCTGAATGTTTCTAGAGCATCTTTTTCAGGCCAGTGCAAGCATCTTCTATCCTCCAAGTCAGATGCCAAATGAGCACTTTTTACTGTGGGATAGACGTAACTTCTACTTTTCTTAATATATTCTTATTGCCTGAACTACTTTCTGTAGCTGGTCAGCATTTTAACAGTATTTATGTGCCCAAAGGTTCATGTAAATCACTGTTGTGTTTTACAATATGCTAAGCAGTCTAATTACTATGCAAATCACAGAAGTCTACTTAGTATCAATTTCTTTTCATGTCTTCATAAATGAATTGTTGGGCTAAGCACTTACAGCATAATGCTTTTACAGGGTGAATTCAGACTTTCTTTTATAGTCCATAAAGATCCCATCTTTGTGTCATCACCTTTGAGATATTTCCCTGTTTATACGAGTGAAAAACATTGCATATGCTTTTCAGTGTTTTTCCCCCACCTTGTTTGTTAAGAGAAATCATATAGATCATGCAATGTTCTTCAGGACAAAAAAAAAAAAAAAGCTTTGACCATTAATAACATGAATAACATGTTAGAAGGCAAGGAAATGAGAATTTAATTTTGCTATCTGAAGACTTCCTACATTAACAAAATAAAGCTGGTGAACATGAGTTTGTTTGAAAATCTCCTTACTGAGAAGGTTTTAGTATTGAAAATTCCTGGTTCAGAACTGGCGGGAAACTTCCCTTCCTAGGCTTCCTGGAGGATGCAGGAAGTTCTGGGGGGTGACTCCTGTTATATACCATGAAGATGAACTTCAGTTTTCTTTATGAAGCGCTGCAGTTCATTCCACTGTTTAGATTGAAGGAAACTGTAGCAGTAAGAGAGAGAGCAGAAATCCAGAGAAGCCATAAGGATCATAGAAAACGTGACAGATTTTGGATTTGGGCAGATTGATGTGCTGTAACCGCTTACAATTGGTGTAGTGATGGGAACATACTTTGGATTTACTGAAGGGACCTAATTGTCCACAATATGTTAAGGCAGCTCATTTTTATTGTTGGTATCAGTGTGTCAGTGCTAGTAACCCCATGTAGTACCAGAGTTCTCTGATGCTGTTCGTTGAGACCAAGCTGGCTTACTCAGCTCATACCAAGCCAACTTGAAACATTTGGACTGATTTGCTCTATGGTAGGTCTTTACTTAAAAGTAGACCTTGTGAAATATTTTGGCAGTGTTGTTACACCTTTGTTCTGCAGTTTAAAAAATGTCTTGTTTTGCTTTGATGGAAACTTGAAATTTGATGAAACGGCTGACCTTGGTGTTGGAGCTGTGCCTTTCTTCTGTTGCCATGAAAATCAATTTTAACTGTGTTAGGGTGGAAGCTACTGTATATTTACATATATTTCAGTTTTTGCTGAAAGCTGTTCTCACTGCTGAAACTCTGCACCTGAATTTCTTAAGTGTTGCATGCCCAATAGATGTATTTCTTCAGAAAATTGCTCTAGTCTGCTTTATCTTATGGCTTGCAGAGATATTGGGAGCAAGGAGAAGATAAGAGCAAGAAAAATTATTACCTATGTCTGGCATACCAACATGTGGACAGACTGAGTACTGAGCAGGAGGCTTTGTACTGGGGATGCTGATGGGGTAGAGAGACAGAGGTAGGCTCTGACTATGTCTCAGCCAGTGTCATGGTAAAGCTGTATGTCTCCTTGAGGAACATAGAGTTCACCATTCTGACGTGGGTTTCACTGGTGACCTGTTTTATTTAGCTTTTTTTTAATTGAAGGCAAGTTTAGTCATCCCTTTAGTACAACTGGAATGCTGCTGTTTTTCACATGTACAAATTCAGAGATGGCTTGCCCCACTGGCATTTTTCTACAAATTGAATACCTTAAACACACAGTTGTGCACATATTCTGCATGTCGTGGATAGTCCGGTTGTAAGCATCAGCTTATGCTGCATTTTTACATAGTCACTCCTGTGCTGTTCAGCAGTCTGCCAGCAAATACACCCCTGGGCAAGCCCATGCTGCAGGGACATTCAGTGCCAGGCCATGGGGCAAATTTGTTACAGAGCTGCACTGCTGCATCTCCACTAGCTTTCACCTAATGATTTATCCTTGGCAGGTCACTTCCCTGAGGGGAGCACCACATTTTATCCAAACATTCCTATTTCCAAACAGCTTTCAAAACAGGTATGTTAAATATATGTGCTAGTAAACACTGTATCACTCCTCCCATTTAAACTACAGAGCTAAGGGAATAAAAATTGTTTTCCCTAATGTTTTTCCACTGTCATCCAGCAAAAGTGTGGCAACATAGAAGAGATTGTGCAACCCTGATTTGTCTGGCAAGACCTACAGATATTGGCATGGTGTACATCAGTATCCTGTGCCAGGAGAGCAGAACTTCATGTAGCTGGAATCTGATCTTTAGGTACACCAAAGTGGTTGCCACCCAATAGAAATTAATGTTTTTACCTTGTTGGCTATTAGGACTGGACTTGCTAACCTTCTGGTGTCTAGAACCAGTAGGCTGCAAAAGCTGTGTCTTTAAAGGAAGCTATTTTAGGCTGTTTAAGAGCTTCAGATTTAGTCCCACTGACTTTCTGTCAGTTGCCAAAACAGGTGATACACAAGGCAACCTGATTTTCACAGCTACGGACAAAAAGAACTGGCAAAACTAACTTAGTTAATTCCTAAACCTTTCTTTTAAAATGAAACAAACTCACAGGCTTACAAAGACCTGTGAAGTGTGTGGGACATAGGCTGTGTGCATCACTGGGAGGATGAGGGAGAGGGGGGCAAGGGGTGTGTAAATCACTGAGGCCTTGGCATCCACCCCTGGCTGCCTTGGGTTGGGCATTCTGGTACTGAGTATGGGCACACGGTCAGTGAGTCTAGTCCTCTGGGAACTGTACTTTCTTTTCTGAGGTTTGAACTCCCTGTTCTGTAGCTGTCTCCAGTCCAAGCTGGCTCCTTCAGGGAGATCTGTGTAGTCATTTGTGGTGTCCTGCATCAGGAATGGAAATTCAGGAGTGTTACAGGAGAGATTATAACCTTTCTTGTGTTTGGACCTCTCCTCTTCCATAGTTCTCTCCCTCAGCCCAGGAGCTCACAGTCAGCCTTGCTGCATTTGATTTGAATGAAAAGTCTAAATATTCCCAGAAACTACTTAAAATAGCTGCAGTATTTGTTGATATCTCACCAAAAGTTACACTGAGGGTATCCCTCATGCATCACGTTGTTGATGTTGTAGAACCAAACAGCGTCACAGCACTGTAAGCAAAGATCAGCTCAGCAGGCCAAGATAATTTCAGTGCCCAGGTCTCCATCTCACCTACTATAGAAAGGACAGACAGGAAATATCTGGTCCACATTAAATTACTTCTGTCACCAGCCAGTCCTTGCTTCCTGTGTCTTATAAGAAGCTCAAAAGTTGTTTGGATAGTGAAGAATAATTAAGACCATCCCTTACAAAAAAAAGCCAAGATAGTGGCTTTAAGCCATATGGCTCTGCTCTTACTGTGTAACGTTTTTCTTGGGGGAAGGTTTCTGAAGAAGCAGCCAAGGCAACAGTGGAAGCAGTTGAATCCACCCATCATTTGAGAGCCTGGGTCTCTCACCTTCATGACTGATGCAGACAGAAAGATTTAAGGCATCCTCCCATGGTGTGATGCTGGCCATGTTCTGAGTTACCACAAGTGCAGTGCGAAGCCTGCGGTGGTACAGTTCATCCACAAGAGAAATAAAAGAGATGCTTTACTGCCTCTCTGAAAAGGCGTTTCCCTGTCCTAGGGCTAAAACTTATACCTGTGGTGACTTTTGCCTCCCTGAAGAGATCAGCAATGGTGCTCCTTGTGAGAAAGTGTCAGCCACAGCATTATAAACACCAGCATTCTCTGAGCTTTTCAGAAGAAAAAAATCCAGTTTCTATCCTTCTTACCTCTTACGAGAGGTAGGACCTAGTGAGAGCTTCGGGGGGGCTTTTGTCCTGTTCACTTTCTATTGCTTTAGTATCCATCTTTCCTTTGACTGCAAGTACAGATAAGGTCTGTCTCACACTATATTCCTAAGGCAGGGATTGTTTTTAGTCTGTAACCACTCCCTTGGGTGGTTTCTATTCCTGCTTTTGGAAGAAAAACTGTAGTCCCTGATGTAGTCCAGGTCCTGGGTAAAGCACTACTAGGGTAAGAGGCTTCTGGTTTCAAAGAAGAAAAAGGGCATGGGTCATCATTGTTTTCCATGTGCTTGGGAATAAGTATCTCAAATTTTCTGGTTTGCTCTGCTCGCAGAATGAGCTTTAGATATCTAGAGTAGATACATTACTATTAGTACAGTATTGCTGTTGACTCTGTGACAGTCCTGTAGTGGGGGCTTGTCCGTGGGAAGCTGAGGATCTAAATGTATTCATGTCTAAAGGGCTAGGTGACTTGGGAAAATCTGTTAATTGCCAGTATTGTGGTTGGGTTTCCTGCAATATACAGTGGAGCTCACAGCTCTCTGACACTATTCTGCTGCTTATACCAATGCCACTTTACGCATGGTGTCAGCAGAGAAGAGCAAGGCCCTGCCATCTGAGAAGAGATCTTTTCTCCCTGGAATTGACACATACCATACCCCACCATGACTATAGCTTGCTGCTTATCTTGTTTCCTAGACATTTTGGCAGATGAGCTCAGTGGGTATATGATAATAGCTGGGTTGTTTGCGCCTCTGCGACATCATCTTTCATTTTGTCTTTCACAAATGGGTATTCCCCTCCAGAGCCCCTGGTTTAGGACACAAACACACCAAGTGACAAGTATTTAGCTGAATAACAAACGGAAGTCCAGGTCCACTAGCAGGCAGATTCCCATATCTGAACTCCTGAAGCTACTCTGTAGTTGATTCTGGCTTCAGTGCTTGTAAAGCATCCAGAGATTCCCACCTCTGAACTACACATCTTGCCAGCCTTGGCTGAACGAAAGAAACTTCATACCCTAGACATTGGGAGTTACTTGGACCAAAGGCATGTGGATTTTGCCAAAGCTGTGAAGAGCCAGTGAAGCCATGATACAGCATAAGAAATAAGTCATTGTATATTTAGTCTATGTACTTGCTGGGAATTTTCTAATGAATGTATATATGAAAAAATAGCTATCACAAACATTTCTGTAGAACAACACCTTTTGATCATTAGTAACACTGGGTAGGACTCCTCCCCACCTAGAAATGTGCATGCACCTTATGTGTAATATGCAGAGCCACTCTGCAATGAGATGTTTGCAAGCAGAGACTTTCCTCCCATCAAAATGATGGAGGCCATGGGTGTCTGGCTGTGCAGGACAGGGGCTTACATCCAGTTGAGCCCACAGCACAGCTGGCTGGTTGTTTCTGGCTTCTGTGTGCCAGTGAGCAGGGCTTGCATGTGCTGCAGAGGAGTCTGTGTGCACCCTGTGCTCTGGGTGGCCATCCTGGCTGACTCCATCCAGCATGGTTCGTGTTGGACCCCGTTCTAACAGAAATTGCTTCCTTCCTTTCTTTTCCCACCCTCCCTTCCCCAGCTGATAACAAGACGAAAAAGAAAGTAGCTCATCGGGACAGGAAGCAGGACTTCTCTGCCTTCAAGCAGACAGACAGCGAGATGAAGGTTAAAATATCACCGCAGCTCCTCCTGGCAATGCACCGGTTCCTGGCAACAGGCAAGTGTGGGTTATCTCTTCTTGCGATCATGCCAGTGCCTCGGAGGCAGTTTGTCAGCAAAGGCCGGTGAGGTGGGTGGGACAGTGCAGGCGGGAAGGGAGGCTGGATTGTGGGGTGACAAATAATGCCACTGTTGTGTTTTTCTTTTTAAATTCTCTCCTCTCCTGTGTTCAGTGTCGGCATGAACCCTCTGAGACATTTACCAGGGGTGGACCAGTAACTTTAAATTGGTCTGAAAGGTAAGGATGAATGCCAAGTGCCGCACTGCATGTCTAGAGTCCGTCAGATTAACGACTAGCAAGTACACCCTATTAGGAAGAGCTCAGGGAACAAACCAAAGAGGACTCGATACCACTGCCCAGCTGACTGTAATTGCACTCTGGCGCCTTCTCCAGAAAGAGATGCTGGACTTTTTGCAGGAAGGTCTAAACCTGTTCCATGAGACTTTTTGACTCCAAGTGAAAAACTCTCCCGACACATTTAATGCAGACTGCGCAGGTGGTTGAACTGTACTTTTAAAAATGGATTTCTGGCTGGCTTGTGTGACCTCCGTTGATGACTTCAGGTTTCAGAGGACAGTTGTCTACATCCCAGAACAACCTGATGTTTTAGCCCCTTGGGTGAGCAGTCTGGCAGAGAGGCCAGGGCCTTGAAAGCTTTCTTGCAGCTGATACTGCCTGTCGTCGTAAAGTTGGTCCCTTCACCTCAGAGATGAGACCTGTTAACAGGAGAGCTTGTGGAAAACATACCTTCCTGTTGCTCATGCTGTCTCTCTTTGACATATAAAGACTTCTCACATGCAGGCCTTTCAGATGGGCGTCTTTCACTGCTGTGTTCAACATATGTTCATGGGTTGAAAATGATAAAGTTGTTCCATCTCAAGTTTGCCACCTCCAGTTGGAAATTAGTACTTCCCCTCCTCTAAAATGCAGTAACTGCCTGCCTAGATGCTCCTAGTCTGCCTTCATGCTTTTTTTTTTGCCTCTGTGACTTGAAGGAAACATGTATGTGATCGGTTATCACATCTCAGCTGAGGGGCAGTAATTCCTTAAAAGGCTTGGACTCCTACGGCTCATGTGCACATGGGCATGTCCTTGGTGAAAGGAAGCAGTTCAACAGGAAGATGTGGATTTAACAGCGAGCAAGGCATTGTTCATGTAGTGGTACAAGACTTGATGGATTTCCCTAAACACCTGCTCAACAGACATAGTCTTACAATGCTGCTTCTCTACTTGTTTTGTGGATGAAAGTGTTGCGTAGCTTAAATCCAGGTCTGTCTGTGAAGCCACTGCTAAATAAGATGAAAGCTACCATTTTGGTTTCTCTGCTCTAAATTGAGAATAGTATGTTTAGCAGAAGAAAGGTACTGGGTCATTAATGGGCCTGTTCTGAAATGAGTTGTTAGAAAAGCTTATCAATTTGCATGTGTAAATCTCGACGTCCCTGGCTTAACTCTCCCACACAAGGATGAGCTTTTCTGCTTCAAACAGCTCTTCTTGGGAACACTGAAGAACAAGTGGATAGGGAATGTGTTCTGTGTGTCAGGCATGAATCCCACATGGTTTGAACTGACCTGCACTGTCTCTCACTTTGAGTAACTCCTTCCATATGAACTGTGGCAGCCCTAGCTGTGTCTTTGATTTATGTAAAGCATCTATCTAGAGTAACTTTCTAAGCCCCAAATGGTGATTCGGTTGTTTTGGTTTTTTCAAAGTGCAATAAATGTAGTAACTAATAATTTGAGGAAGGAAAAAACAAATTCAAAGGTTCTCTCTGCCCCAGCTGTAAAGCTTTTCTATTCATACAACTCTCCAATAAGCCTATACAACTGTGACTCTGAACTCTCAAGAGGGCAAGACTGCCTTTTTCTTTTCCCTTTCAGATGAAGACATGGTTTTTGGTTATTTTGAAAAATACTTCAGTAATGAAAGTTGGGGTATTTCTGTTTGTTTTTTTTTTCCCCTCTTACAAATCTAACAGTCTCAAAAGACAGGAAGCCTGCATTTCCATAATGGATCTCTCTGCATCTGTGTGTCTTTTTTAGGCAAATGCTTATTAACGAGTATTGCTAACTTCTTGCCACGTATATGAAGTGTAATGCCAAGTTGTATCTTGTGTTATAGAAGTAGAAGCATTTGGTCCATCCCAGATGTCAGAGAAGATCCTTCTCAGGCTGCTAAAACATCCCAACGTCATCCAGGAGCTGAAATATGATGACAAGAACAAGAAAGCCCCAGAACACTACCTCTACCAGCGAAACAAGCCTGTTGACTACTTTATTCTCATTTTACAGGTCAGACATGTGGTTATGTAGTTATGTGCAAAATTCTTAAGCTCCTGACATATCCTTCTCTGTATCTCTTCCACTTGTTGAAGTTTGTCTTCTTTCAAACCTGGGAATAGAGCTATGGCTCCTGGGAAGTGCTCCTGCCTCCTTTATGACCTTCCTAACCTTGAACTTCTCACTCAGCTGCTTCCAGCCTCAGTTAAACCAGTTGTGAAGGGTAGACAGCACTTCCCACTTACAGTCATCTGTTGAAAATTACTTTAGGTAACTCTAGGATAGGCAATGCAAGGGAATCCCTTCATCCAGCTGGCATTGCTTGGAAAATAAAGGTACAAATAAATGCCATGTCATAGGAGTTTGGCCAGGATGCTTTCTCTAATGCTTTTTTTCCTTTTGCAAAAGGAGGCATGGGGAGTTTGACAGTGTAGAGAAATGACATTTTTCTGTGCAATTTTGAAGACTGTACCTTTGGTGCTTTGAGAAGCGCAGGTTTTGGTGGGGTCACTGCACCATCTACTGAACCACAGCCCCTGTTGTTCCTGGGCACTCTCCCTACCCCATGACCGCTGTATTTTGGTGGGTTTTAGATTGGAGCTGTACGTGGTGTGGAAGGACTGTTTTCTGCTGGTTCTGTACAGGATTGCTTCCAGTGCTATTATCTCTTGGGTTTTATTTCTTCACAGGAGGTCTTGAACAGCTAGGTAAAGCTTCACACAAAGACTTAGCTTCCATCTGGCACTGTCTGCGCAGGAACAAGAAACAGTCCTTTAAGAGCAATTTTGCTGTAAAGGTGCTTATGTATCAATCCTGCATAACTGAAATCAGTTTTGGTTATAAAAACACAAGCATTGTAGCTAAAGTTGTAACACAGGCCTTGAAATCTTCCTTAATGTGGCCTTAAGAAAAAAAAAGAGGAAGGGGGTAAAAACATTATCAGTGGTAAGTAATTAAGAAAGAACTGGAATATGGAATTTTGGATTCACTGTAGTTCTCTTTTTATAAAGGTTCAGTTTTTTGAAGGGTTTGAGGAGCCTCGGGTAGCTCTTTAACTGCTCTTTCTTATGAGCTAAATCGTTGCCATCTGAAATATTCCAGAGGCAAGATAATGCTCCTGAATGAGGTAATGCTGCAAAGATGCAAATGGAGGACACGGGCAATACAGAAGAATGATAAGTTCTTTCTGAGCTTTCCTGGCATCAATAAATATTTAGCAAACACAATGTGCTAGCTCTATAATGCATTTGGAAAACTGAGTCTTGCAGTGGCTACATACTATAAAAATGGTAACAAGGTTGGTTCTGCAAGGATCAAATGGGAATAAATACTCCGGTTCTGTTTCTTAAATGGACTTACTCTCTTGTGTCAAGAGACCAAGAATACCTTCATAGTAAACGCATGCCAGAACACAATTAAATGTATATTCTGTGCATTAAAGTGCATAAACTAGTGCATTAAAGGTACTGGTTTAGTCTCTGTAAAGTTACTATTTTAGATGGAATGTCACCTGTTTGCAACAGCTTTTCTCTTAGCTAATGGGAAGTTCTTCTGTAGCAGTTTGAGATTTGGTTTTGGCATTGTGTTTTTTCAACATTCCTGTTAGAACATTAAACAGTGGAAAACCAGAAATTGCATGTGCATGCATTTAAACAGGGCAGAATGCATCTAATAGCATGCATGGGGAATTCTTAACGGCTTTGCAGCCGCTGTGACTATGCCAAGCGTGTCTGGTCTTCATATGGCCACTGCTGGGAAGCTTGAAGGTGCTGAGTGTGCTGATGGTCTTGGAACTGAAACTGAACTTGTGATAGTTTTTCATTAGCTACTAACTCCAGACTGACTGTATGTGAAGATCAAAGCCTGGTTGTGTATGTATTTGAGAGACCTAGTCTTGGCTGGTGAGTAACTACCAGGCTAGTAGTTATTTACCAGCAGTTTACCAGAGCTCTCAACCTACTTATTTTAAGTAGGTTGAGAGCTCTGTTTATAACCAGTCTTTGCCTGAGTGATGAAATCGTACCTTTTGGAAGGCTTGTAATGAACAAATAAGCTACTTATTTGTGTTGTGAAGTGAAATTGGTTTTAAAAGGGATTATATGAAGTCGTTGCTTGTGATAGCAGTAAAGTGGCTTTGTGAGCTAGGCACTCTTTTCCTGCTAGGTAGATTTTATGTTTTTTCTCATCTGGGGCAGTTAAACAGACTGGCGTGGTATCAGGGCTGATGCAGGTTGAGTTCATTTTCACGTTTTTCTGTACTGTAAAGTTAAAGGCATGATTATGTATGAGAAATAGTGTTTAATGAAATAAACACACAGAAATCAAATATACCTTTGGACTCATTTTGACCCAATTCTATCCAGTTGATGTTCAGTCTACTTAGTCCACAAGGGACAGGCAGTCTCTGCCCTTTCCAGTCTAGCAGAGGGAAAGCATTGCAGGTAATTATGTTGTTTGACTAAACCCCCAACTTTTATGTAGTTCAACCTGAAAACCGCATGAAATTTCTTCTGTCTGCAGTGGTGTGCTGTAACTCTCAGTGCAGTACCAATAAGGATGGACAAGAGGCCCCACTGAGAAGCCAATTACTTTTTGCTACTTGTTTACCAAAGTAACTGGGATTCTTACAGCTGTGTTTGATATGGTGGGTTCTGTTCTGGAGTCCTTTGTAGGACTTGATGTTAAACATCTGGTTCAGCCCACATCAGAACTGGGTGCACTTGTGTGGTCGTGTGGTGTTATACAGCTTGGAAGCACTGAGGGTCCTTCTAGGTAAGACCCTGCAGAAGAGCAGGATCTTAAGTTAAGGGTGCTGGAATATGTAAAACTGCTAGAAACCAGGAAAACCAAAGTATCCCCAAGGCTGCTCCTTCAGGAATAAGGGCTTTGTTTCTGTGGGAATCTCCTCCTCACGTTTTGTCTCCCATCTCCCTTTCCTATGCTTGTGTTAGTGGGGACTTTTTGTATGAACGTGTGAAATGCGTCAGTGTCTTCAGACCCCAGATGACTGGGCTACTTACAAGCTCCTTGTGATACAGGGGGAGTATTTTTTCACTCTTCATTGAGGGAGAGCAGCCTGGCAGCACTTGGAGCAGGGCAATAGAACCACCCTGAAGTGATTCCAGTCCTCAGAAGGGAGTTCTGCTGGCCACAGGGCACCAAAGACCAGGATAGCTCAGGGCACAAGGGTCTGTCCCTGTTCAGGCACCTTTACAAACTGCAGAGACCATGACACTGCTTAGGAATGTCAGGCAAAACTAGCTTTCAGGGCACAAGTTTGGTCTTGTGCCTTGAGACCTACAGTCCCTTTTAATTGCAGTTCTCTCTCCTTTTCCTTAACAGGGGAAAGTGGAAGTGGAGGCTGGGAAAGAGGGGATGAAGTTTGAAGCTGGTGCTTTTTCCTACTATGGGGTGATGGCCCTCACAGCATCGCCAGGTATGTCCTCTTACCTTCTGCTTCTAGAATGCTCTCCTTGCACAGGCTTGCCAGTCCTGTGAGTGCAGCAGGAGGAGGCTGCACAGGGCATCCCCCCACCATGTCCCTAGGCTGATGTAAATGGTACCTCCTTGCCTGCCTGGCACAGCATCCCTGGAAAGGGCCCTGGCCAGTGGCGATGCTGCCTCTGGCTGTGAAACCCAGTGGCTGGCAGTGGTTTGCCAGCTCCCGGAAGATGCTAGCGTTGGCCTTAGGGAGTGATGTATTTGGGACCGGAGAACAGCTTTGTAGTTTTGCTCACTGTAAGATAACAGGGAAATAACGGTAATAAATAATTAGGGGCAGAGGGACATCTAGTGGTGCGAAGTACAAACGCGCGGTTAGTGTGGGGATTTTTTGCCTTACCGGTCTTGTTTTCAAAGCCGTCTTGAGGAAAAGGAGGGCAGCGGTGCAAGAAAAGCGATTATTCCTGTCAGCTTGTGTGGAAATGTAACCGAGAAACCCGCAAGGGGGATAAGCTGGTGGCTGAGGGCGAGGTGTGAGCCGGTTCCCACCGAAGTGTGAGACAATTCCCAGCAAACAAGTGGTAGCTGCACAAGCCACCACTTCACAGGTGCAGGTTGGGAGATTGTTTTATAATCCACCAAAAGCAGGCTACAGTGCTGTGTTTCAGCATTTGGTGATGCATTTTGGTGTCTGCAGTGTCAATTCTAAGATCTCAACCTCAAATGAGAATCCCCACGGCCCTGTTGGGGAGGGCTGTGTTGGGGCACAGGTCCTGGCATTGGCCATCTGCTGACACAAAGCTGCTTGCTTAGCTCCAAGAAGAGACATTTTTCATGCTGAAATCTGGTCCTCCTGTCACACCAGGGAATATGTTCCACTTGAGAGGCTGCTTGTATTAGCTGTACACTCATGAACACTCCCTTTACATATGTGTACCCATGTCTATGTACATTAGCAAATGGCACTGGAATGAAAATAATATTGTAAGTTGAGTCTAGCCTTGTTAAACATCAGTTCTCTTGGATGTGTGAGTTCATTTTTACAGGCAAGACTAATTCGTCCTTCATTACATCACTTTAATTTGATTAGTTGAGCTCATACCTTTTGAGGCTTGCGAATTAGAAAGTGTGCAGAGCACTGATTGACAGCAGCAGTGTTCACAAGGAATCAGGACACACGGGTACAACTGCACTGTACCCTCAGCTTTGCAGCTCAGCTTTTGCAAGAGCACATGGGCCAAACACAGAGCTGGGTTAGATGTGGTCACTTCTCCTACCAGAACTGTGCTTGGAAATCACTTGTGGCATCTGTTTTGCCAGCATTGTTCAGTTTGAATGTTTTCGTGTGTGGGTTGTTGGGGTTTTTTTTGCGTGTTGCTGTCCATTCCCACAACCATGCCAGCTGTCCCAAGTCCCTTGAGGTCAAATGATCTCCTCTTCATGTGCCTTGAAATCTGTTTTAGATTTTGTCATGCCAAACTTGAGGATATGCAGTATTTTGAAGTAGTCTTGGCCAACATTAGATTTGTTTACCTTCAACTGGTTGGCTTTTACTAGTAGCAAACCCCTTATTTTGCTGACTTTTCCTCCAGGTGTTAGAGAATTTGTTTTATGATATCTTGTAGCACCCTGAGATTCCTGTTGCTCAGTGTAGAGAGGAAAGCTGAGTAGAACTGTAAGTAATTTCTGAACAAGAGAAAACTTCTGCTCTTCTGTGTGTCCTAATTAGACTTGATATGCCTCCTCTCACCACTTGGAATGTAAAGTCAGTAACAGGAGAGTAAAGCATTAAAAAGCCCTGAAAGCAAACGCTTCCTATCCACCTAAACAAAACAACACACACCACCACCCAAAAAAGAAGCTTTTTTCTTTAACGGTAGCTGGGGAGGGATTTGCAGTAATGATGAGCAGTACTATTCCCATCCTGAAAAAGGTGAGCTTAGAGAATCACAACCTCACTTGACATTTTACTGAAAACTTGAACTGTGACATGTCTTTTGGTTTTATTTCTGGTTTTGTCTGACTTGTGTAAGGAACAGCACCATGAAAGCTCTCTGGCTTGTTTTAACTCTTTGCCTTTCAGGCTGGAGTGGGCACCCCTGCTTCTTTTGAATTGTTTCAGAACTGAGTGTACCTTGATGGACTGTCCTGTGCTGAATAATCATTCAAATTAGCAAATGAAAATTGTTCACTTCACTGTAATTCCTTTGGCTTGTTTTTTGATTTATTCCTAAAACTGTTTAATTGTCTTTTTGTTGGTTTTGCTTTTGTTTTAACCTTTTACTTTTTCACAGTTGATTTGCACTTTTGGTTTTAGTTCCTCAGTGTGTGAACTGGCTCCTTCCCCTGTCGAGTGTGGATAGCTGCTGCCTTTCTGGTCGTGATCTCATCCTTTTTCTCTCCCTCTTCTAGTTCCCTTGTCCCTGTCTCGTACCTTTGTTGTCAGCAGAACAGAGTTGTTAGCAGCAGGTTCTCCAGGTAAATCCGCATGCTTCTATTTTCACCATTCTTGTGACTGCCCTGATGCCATAAAAAGTCAGCTGCAGTCTGTATTTTTCTGACCCCTTTGCCTGTTAGGGAGAAGTCCAGCACAGAATTATGCCTCACAGGTGGGTATCCTGGACTTTCATTTGTGGTAACTGGTAGCAATGTGACAGAGCCATCAAAATGGGAAGAACTAGAAACACGTTGAAGGAAATGTCTTTGATAATGTGTGTTTTTTCTTGTTTCTTTTATGTACACTGGTGGAAAATTAGAAGGGGAGATTTTTTTAAAAAGAAGGTATTCTCCCCCAAGCTGAGGCTTAAAGATTTCTGGAGAAAATGGATTTGGCAGAGGAGAATGTCTGCTGCTAAACTGCCATAAAAGGAAAACCTCTTTAATGAAAGAATCCTTATATCCTCATACGGGTAAATTCTATGGTTTGTATAGTCTGGCCATTTCAATTCCTGAAAAGCTCTGAGTGTTCTCTCAGTGAGGTTAATGCCATGGCCCGGCACAGTGACGAACGGATTTGCTATGGAATGTGCAAGAAGGTTGTGGGACCTCCTGTGGGGTTTTCTGGTTCCCATTTTACTTAAGACCTTTCCCTGCTGAATAACCAAGTTGACTGACACAGAAATCCCTTTGGAGAGCAGAGACCAAGGAGGGAACACATTGGGCCAAAAAGAGCTCTGAGATGTGGTTGAGCGGTTGGAAATCGGGAAGGGTCAAGAACTGAGCTTTGCAGACACTGAATGCACAGAATAGTTGAGAGAAATGGAAACCTATCAAGAAAGTCTGATGGAAGAGCACAATCCTAAAATAGTTCGGGCCACAGCGAACATATTTCTTCCTTTTGAAGTTTTCTTCTTCAGATGAAATGTCTTTCTTTAGACCTAAAGGCAAACGAGATAATGATACACATATTTAAGTGAAACATCTCCTAAACATTAATACATATCATGATTTTCATAAACTTTCACCATCTGCTTCCTGTATGTTCCTCCTCTTCTTTTTTCACTTTTGAAAATGTATTTCACTGTCAGTCCTTAAATTACTCTCATGCACATTCCAAACAAACTACAGGTTGTTGCCCTGCAGGGTTTTTTTTTCCTGCCCTGTTAAAGTTTCCTGCTGCTAAACTTCAAAGAAGGGGGAGAAATTTAATCTTTCTTTAATTAAAATACCTGATGGCTTTCTTTTAAGCTCAGAGGCTTTGATTATCTTTTTTAGCTTGGTTCTTTTGTTTTACCAGATCTTCCTTTTTTTTTGTTTTCCCCTTTTCCTTCCTACAAATAAGTATATACTTTGCACATGCAAGTTGTTTTCAATATAAATGTCAAGCATATTTTCATAGCTCCTTTTCCAACTAAAAAAACTTAATGAAAAATGAAAAATAATGGGAAGAGTCTCCTTTGAAAGGAACTGATATGGTAAGCCTGTCACTATGGCAATGTGGTATCAGTTTTGAAGAAACTTGGAATTTCTGCTGGGTTCTTCTAAAAAGGATCCTGTTGTTTAACTCCAAATTCGTAATACAGTTGTACTGATTGTTTGTCTTGTGGTTTGTGGTCTTTATCCCCTGTATAGGAAGGTGAGGTATGGGTAGAAAAGATCTGGGTAGAAAAGATCTGTTTAGATCAGGACTGGCCTGCTAGGGGGCTGTCAGGGCACTGTTCTGCAACAGACCTGCCTGGTATTCCTCTGTCATCTGCCCTTTCAGTATCTTCCCTTCATCATTAACTTCCCTTCTCCCTTCCTGACTTTTACATGGTCCAGAAGTGATGTCCTTCCCCTCAGATATTTAGTAATCATACCTTTTTGTTCTGTCCTTTTGTTTCACCTGTCCTATTTTTTTGGTTTTGTTTTAATGTATTCTTTGTCATGTTGCTCTCTGCCCTCCTTTGTTTTTAATTAGTAATGTACTATAACCTGGTGAAAAGAAAGAGCAGATATAGTTGCACTAGTATAAAGCTGTTCCACATGGAAACCTTTATGCTGAGCAGTAACGATGCTGTTCTTGTCACACATAGATAAATTTTGTGTATGCAGGTGGGAAAGACAGGATGAATTCATTCAGCCTTCACAGCTCCTTGCTCTCCAGTGGGAATTACAGCATCAAGCTCTGTGTGAAGATAGAGCTTTGGCTCCTGGCAGCAGTTATTGTAGCCTCCTGTGGCTTTCAAGATGGCAAGTCGGTGTGGAGGAAAACCTTGCAGGGGAGTGCTTCCCCCTAAGCCTGTACTTGGTGTTGCCATAGGGACCTGCACTAATTCCATAGTGCAGAAATGGCAGAAAAATTGCCAAATTGTCAGAACCTGTATTTTTATGTTCCCTTTTCTAAAATTAAATGAAAGGCAACATCAGAGGGTTTTTAAGTGGGAAATAAAAAACAGGGCAATTCTGCCATGCATCTAGAAACATCTAAAGTGTTTGGTTTAGGAAAGGCTATATGCAAGGATGTAGAACAGGTTGTGTCATTTGGGCAAGGAAAGATTTTATTTATAGTGATTAAATGGCAGAGGTAGGGTTGAATTTTAGGGAGCTTTTTTTTTTTTAAAAAAATAACTTTATATATCTAGAAGTCTTCAAAAAAATAAAAGGATTTGTAAAGCTTGCAAGTATACCATTGCCAATGTGTTTGAAGAGGCTTCGTGTGTTAAGATTATATGAAAATGATCTTTCAGCTGAGAATGGGCGTCACGTGAAGGTTGAGTAGCATAGTTTACATCAAGTTTGGGCTGGCTGAATGAAATTTAACCTCACTAACACCCAAAACCTCACCAGTCCCAAAGGCAGCTATTTAATCAGCATGTACTGTGTGTGCACCCAGGAAGAAGCCCATTGACAGGAGGGCTTGGGATCTCTCTAAGGATGTAAGAGAGATCCTAAGATCCCTCTTCTGGATCACCGTGTGGGTGGAAGATAGGGATGCAGAATGTCTATGGCTTCCTGAAAGCACATTTACTTGAGTTGAACTGAGGCCAATCACACTTGCAGGGGACGGCTGTGAGGGTTTCAAGTGAAACCTTCCAGTGGTTAAAGGCCAGTGATAGAAAATGTTGTCTTCAGTTTACTCCTTTCCCGGACACAGATTTTTCTTTGTAGCATGGACTGTTTTCCCTGTTTTGCTGGCTGGCATATACCACGTGAAGCTTGTTCTCCTTCACTGAGTTTTTGCCCCTTTAAGCACTGGGAGGTACTTGAGGAAACAGTAAAGTAATCATCATGTGGACTGCTCTCTGGTCCACTGAGGACTGTATCACTTAGGATTTGAAACTGTCTGCTCTAATTCAGAGAACAAGGCATATGTTGGTACCAGATGGAATAAAAGGGAGGAAGGGCTAGCTGGAACAGACTGTGGATGAAAGGTCTGGTATGGAGTTACAATTATAAATTATTAAAAAAAAAAAAGAATGTATTAAGCATGGTCTGACTATCAAGAACTTCTGTAAGGGAGCCTTGGAAGTTACCTTTCTCTGGTGGTTACCACTTACCAGCTGAAGCACTGTCAACAGCTGTGCACAGGGTACACTGAGCATAAACAAAACCAGGTTTGTTTAAGGCATGTTCAGTGGTGTCAGCTACCAGCTCTGGCCTCAAAATATACTCTTTTTCAGAGCAACTGGGTAGTTTAATTGCATGTCTAGTTATCAGTGGATTAAGTATTTGCAGTTCTTTTGTGCTACATCATGATGTATTATGTCCCTTTGAAACTGGTGGTTTTAAATGTTTCTTACTTGATTTAAGAAATCTCTCACTCTTGCCTGTTTCTCAGCCGAAAACAAGTCTCCACCTCGGCCCTGCGGCTTGAATCACTCAGACTCTTTAAACCGAAGTGATCGCATCGACGCAGTGACACCAACGTTAGGGAGCAGCAACAACCAGCTGAATGCATCTTTCCTCCAAGTGTATGTTCCAGACTACTCAGTGAAAGCAATCTCAGACATTCAGTTTGTCAAGGTAGGAAAAAAGCTAGAAAGGCCCTGCTGGAAAGCTGGGCTTGGCTGGTAGGATGGAGAGCCTGGGGAAGGGAGGTCTCTTTAGATCACTTTGTGAGTAAACAGGATTATGAAAGCAGCCGTTTGAAAGTCACTTTAAATTACTTTCTCCCAATATCTGCTGTCCATTGATTTGTCTTCACTGTTCTTCTCCTTTAGGCTCATAAGTAGATTGGTCACATAAAGTTCTGGATTTCAGGTCCCTCGAGGAAAGATAATAGAAAATAACCTCTCTTTGCTTTTAGTCATGAACAACGTATCTTTGTGAAGCCTTTGGAGCCATCAGAAATGGAGACCCTTCATTATCAGTGTCCTTTTCTAAAGGATGAAACATTTTCTGTTGGCTGCAGCTTTTTTTCACTTCTGATTTTGGTTTCGGTTTGGGGTTCTTGATCTAACTTTCCAACTTGTCATCCTTCTTCTGCTTGGAGAAGTCGGACATTTCTCTTTATCTTAACTTCACATGTTAGGCTCATGTCTCATCCTACCAGTGAGTTGCTGCATGAATACATCTCTGTCCCCCAGCATGGTGCATCCCACGCTGAAATGTGTGTGAGTCCTGTGGGATAGGAAATCTAACTGAGCTGAGGAACAGCTGATGCTGGCAGCAATTCCAGCCCAGCTGAGAGTCCAAGGAAGCTGACATCCCATGGCCAGAAGTTGACCTTGATGCTTTTCTTAAATGAAGTGCACCTTCACAGTTTCTTTATATGCAGTTCAAGTGATTTGTGAACTCAGCTTCTGTCAAAGTCAATTCAATGTTAAGAATGTGGAATAGAGTAGAAATACTAGAATGTTAAATCAGTTATTCTGTAGCCAAATTTTAGCAGTACAGTCTCGCATTGAGAACTCGACAGATGCAAGTGTACTGGTCGATGGTTCAAGCCTTCAAGGCTTAGATCAGTAAATATTTATCACTGGGTGAGTGTTTCTCACTACAGCTCTCAATGTCTAATCTGCTGTACAGAGCAGCTGCTCATCTTATGCTGGTTTATGAGGAGTCCTTCCAACTCTCACTGTGTTCATACCGAGGCTAATGAACGCTAAACTGTCTCATGCTTCTGCACTAAGACTTGCATTCCTCTTTTTGCATCACTGCTTTATACACAGGACAGAGTACTCAACATTAGTGTTTTCACTGTGCCACATGAGTATTTATTCAGTTAATACCTTGTAAACCAGGGTTGTGACCTGCTCGTGCATGTTTTGGATTTTGCTTTTAGAGTTGTGACCTGGTCCATCTGACTCTCTCCATTTCCAGTCTCTCTCTTGTGTTGCTACTGAAACATATGGTTTTCCAAAAGTCTTGTCTCACCTTTTCCACTTTCCTGCCTGCTGAGATGATCCGCTGCTGTTGTAGCACACAGGGCTGCCAGTGCACGTGCATCCTGCTGCCTGTCCTGGCTGAGAAGGCTGACCTGGAGGAGTTTACGGGGCAGGTTGCTTGTGGCTCCAGGAGGAATTCTGTCCTCTACCACCATATGCAGATATATGGGGCTACAGGCTTCCTTGCCTTGGGGCATGGTGGGCGGTAACATTCTGCTCTAGGCCAGCTCTAGTTGTGACTGTTCTCCTGAGTGCAACTGGCTCTTGCAGACTAATTTGGACTCATGTCTATGGAGATCCCAGTCTTTTCTAGAATCGAATGTCCTTCTGCATCAGAATGTCCTTCAAATGTATCAGAATAAGGCTGTAGCTCCTGCTGCATTTGCTGGCCTAGACAAGAGCAGTAATGCTTGTACTCTCTGTCTGTGGAACATTTAGACCTGCACCAGGAGCTCGCTGAAGTTGGGAGGAAGACTTCACTGAACTCTGGTTCTGGCCCTAAAAATGTGCATGGTTAGAAGGAAATGGAAATCTGATTTTAAAATCTCTGCACAGAAATAAATCCCTGCCTTTGAACAGCATGGTGGTTGCACAGCTCTGTGCTTCTGCCCTGTCTGGAAATGTCACCATGCTGTGGTGTTGAGTTGGGATGCTCTAGGCTTGCGAAGTGCAGGGATGTTTTATAGAACTAGGTAAACAAGAGGGTTTGAGGTATGATCATATGGAAAGGGAAGGCACTTGATTTTCTCAGTGTGCCCCACAGGGGACACAAAAGTGTGACTGACTGTTTTTATTCCTTCCTTCTGTTCTTGGAGCAGATCTCAAGACAGCAGTACCAAAATGCCCTGATGGCATCCCGGATGGACAAAACACCTCAGTCCTCGGACAGTGAAAACACTAAAATCGAACTGACTCTTACGGAGCTGCATGATGGTTTGCCAGATGAGACAGCAAACCTGCTGAATGAACAGAACTGTGTGACTCACAACAAGCCCAACCACAGTATGCACAGTGAAGGAGCCATCTAGGAGCTGACTCCCCACAACCCACCCATCCCATCTCCTCAGCAGGACCAGCCCTCGCTCCTTCCTGCCTCCTCCCCGAGTGTGAACACTGTTAGTATGTGCTTGCAACACTGTGCTGCATCCAGTGTTCTGAGACCAAAGACATTTGTGTCCGTTGTGGGAGCAGAAAAGGAAGAAACAGGAAGAAAGGAGCAAAGAGCAAGAGAGAATAAAGCCCCAACTGTACTCTGGGAATGGTGAGCCACCCTTCAGAATGATGAAAATAATTCTTGCAAAATAGAATTGTGTTTATTTTTTATCTGTATTTTTGATCCTTGTTGGGTTTTTCCTCCTCAAACACATATGGAGAAGTTTAAAAGCTCCTCCAGTTATTTTTTCAAGAGAGATCTTGTTTTTAAAAAGTATTTTACAGAGTTTTAGATTGTTTCTGTCCCTCCCAAACCTCAAGTGGGCTCTGTTGTGGTTTTGTGAATTGGCTCCAATGTCCTTAGGCCTCTTTTCACCCCTTTCTGGTCCTTTCTGTGGCCCTGTTGAAGAAGTTAGAAACTGGTACTTGTATGTTATTTGTGTCCTAAGAATGAGTGAGCTTCAAGGAACCTCTGGTTTCAGCCACCTGGAGGGCCAAGGGATGAGTACTATTACACTCTTCCAGTTAAGTTTCAGGGAAGGAGTGGTTACTTTGGTATTTAATGTTGTCTAAAATTTCAGAAGGTTTCTTTGTAAAACAGGCAAAAGCATTGTTACACTTACAGTTTTGTAACCTCCATTATGTTATGTTGAAGTTGATATTGGGGGAGGGGGAAGGAGTTAATTAGCAAAACTACAATCTCATGGAATGAAAGCCAGGCATAGTTTTCCATAATGAAGTAACTGGGTGATTTTTTTTCATTGATGTTCCTGACAGTTGCATGGTGAAGTAATGTGTGCACCCCAAAATGACAAGGTTTTAAGCACTCATGTGCTGTAGCGGTCTGCACCTTAGCCAGATGTGTAGATGTGCAGTCTTTGCTAAAGAACACAGAACATCGGTCCCCACCTCCCTTCAATCTCAAGTATTAACACAAAAGATGCTGCTACAATTATGCCCAAAGTACATCCTCCAGGTGACAGTAAACCTCTGCCAGTGCAAGGATGGGCTCTGCTGAGGAGTTGGGACCATCCTCTTCTCTCCAAGAACTGACAAAACTTTTCGGACGTGAGTGTATTGCACTTCAGGGATTTGGAGAGGTTCGTTTCCAGGCTGTTCCCAGCCGTGTTCCTTCCTTTGAGTGGATTTAGTGCATTTCCTTCTCTCTTGCCCCTTTTAACAGCCATTTTAAGGATTATCGTGGTAGCAGAGCGCCTCCCACCCAGCTGCCACTAGTGCAGGGCACCCTGCGTTGGGCAGCAGAAACCAATTCCTCTACCCCAAAAACCTGAATGCAGACTGGGTGCAAGCAGGAGGCACCCTGTGGCAGTTGTGCATCACACATTCCCCACTCCTACAGATGGAGTCTAAGTCCTCAAATGAAGAAAACAGAAGTCATCTCCCTCTGATCCTCTCCCTTTCCAGTGCTCTCAAACAAAATGTGAACTTTGCCCTTGGTTTCTGGAGTGATTAATAAATCAGGCATTTCAGTTTCTCTGTTTGGAGACCCTTCCGAGGCCCCTGGCTATGTAGCATTTCCTTTCTTTACAACCACATAATCTCATCTGACCCTCAAAGAAGCCCCCAGCCCCAAATGCAACTGCCAGAGTGCTCTGTGCCTGCCCCGTCTCTCCTGTTTGTGGGCTAGGAAAGTTCCCATGGTCTGTCTTTGTGAATGGCGGCAGGAAAGGTGCAATATTGTGCTGCAGGATCTCCTTGCAGGAAACCGGAGTGTGTGGTGTCAGAGCCAGTTTGGTCTCTGTGTGTGTCATGGTTTAAGCCCAGCCGGTAACTCAGAACCACGCAGCCGCTCGTTCACTCCCCCTCTTCTTTCTCCACCCGCTCCTG